AATTGCTTGCCTTTCTGAGTAGCATGATGAAATCTCACTCCATCCACTCATGCCATGAGTCTCCCCGTTGTCCAGCATAACCACGCTGTACATACAGTACTATAGCAAGATATTTTAGAGAGACCACATTCACATAACTTCTATTACAATAAATTGTTATAACTGTTCTATTTTATTATTAGTTATTGTTGTTAATCCCTTACTGTGCTTAATTTATAAATTAAACTTTGTCATAGGCATGTAGGTACGCACAGGAGAAAAGATAGTACATACAGGATTCGGTACTATTCAGGCATCCACTAGGGGTCTTTGAACATAACCGCCTCAGATAAGGGGGGACTACGCTGTAATCTCACTCCATTTAAGATTCTCCCGTGGATTCCTGCTCAAAACAAAATTCAAACTCCTCACCATGGCCTACAGGGTTCTGCTCACCTTTTAAAATTCTCCTCACATTGTCCCCCTTGCTCATTCTGTTCCTGCCACAGTGACCTGGCTGTTCTTTTGACAAACCAAGCTTCTTTGCACCTCAAGACCTTTGCACTTGCTAGTCTCTCTACCTAACATGCTCCTCCACAGACTTTCCCACGGCCAGCTCCTCACTTAAATGTCACCTCCTCAGAATAGCCTTCCCAGACAATCCCATCTAAACCAGCACTGTGGCCACTCTCTATCCCACCACCATGTAGTGGGTGCATGTCTCTGAAACTTTCTTGAGGTATATTTTCCAAATTATGAAACTCACCCACTTCAATGGTTTTTAGTATGTCAAGTTGTACAACCATCTCTGTAAGTTTTAAAACATTTCCATCTTCTCAATACAATCCCTCCTGACCATTAATTGTTAATGCCCGTAACTATCCTCTGCCCTAGGCAGCCACTAACCTACTTTTCTATTTCTGCAGATTTTCCTTGTCTGAGCAGTTCATGTAAATGGAATTATACAATATCCCACCACTTTTCATTTTAAATATATTTTTATTGTGATAAAATATACATAAAACTTAAACATTTTAGCCATTTTTAAGTGTACTGTGTAACGATCACCAACATCCTTTGCCAGAACTTTTTCACCTTTCCAAACTGAAACTCTGTCCCCATCAAATAAATACTAACTCCCATTCCTGTCCCCCTAGCCCCTGGCAACCACCCTTCTACTTTCTGTCTTTATGACTGACTACTCTAGGTGCTCCATATTAGTGGACTCCTACAATATTTATTGTTTTGTGACTAGCTTATTTCACTTAGCATAATGTCTTCATCCATGTTGTAGCAAGTGTCAGGATTTCCTTACTTTTAAGGCTGAATAATGTTCTTTGTATGTCTGTACCATATTTTATCTATTCATCTGTGGAAAAATACTTGGATTACTTCCACCTTTTAGCTGTTGTGAATAATGGTCTGATGAACATGGACATAGAAATATCTGTTCCAGTTGCTGCTTTCCCTTCCTGTGGGAATATACCCATAAATGGAAATGCTAAATAATATGGGAATTCTACGTTGAATTTCATGAGAAATAGCCATACTGTGTTCGCAGTTGTACCATTTTACATTCTTACCAGCAATGCAGAAGGGTTCCAATTTCTCTTTACTTTTGCCAACACTCGTTATTTTCTGTACCTTTGTGTTTTTCATAGTAGCCGTCTTAATGGCTGTGAAATAATATCTAATCTCTTTTTATAATGCATGTATCAATACTTGATTTTCTTATTTACTTGTTTTTTTAAACATCAATTGCCTATCTCCCAAAACTAGATGGAAGGTGGCAAGGAGCTAGGCTGCCTTGTTTGCTGCCATAACCCCAACAGCACCCAGCACTCAACACACATTTGTTGGATGGATGGATGGATGGATGGATGGATGGATGGATGAATGAATGAATGAATGAATGATCTTAGGGCTACCAGCTTTAGGGCTACTACAGTTCTGCCTTCATCTCCCCTACAATCTACAGGAGCTGGGGAGCTCCCTTCTGCTACTCTGACAAACCAGAGGACCATGAAGATTTTTACAAACAAATTAGTGCTATTCCTTTTGAAATACAAAGAAATAAAGATGTTGTCACACTGAGACCTTGAGAGCACCTGGGGCTTTTGTGAACATTCTGCTGAGGGTGTAATTAAAACCGAGAAGGAGTGCTGGGCTCCTCTGGAAGTTCTTGATAGCTACTCATATGCAAACATAGAAGAGGCAGCCCCTTGAGAGAGAATAAACTCAACTGGCTGAGTTAAAACTATAAAGCTTTTAACTAGAAAAGCAAATTGTGCAGTCATTTCTTCTGCATTAACTATGCTTTCTAAAGACTTTTTTTTTCTTTCCCAAAAAAGGCTGGCATTTGTTTCTCAATTTCATGCCACAAATAAATATGTCAGAGACTGCCTGTCATTTGCTGTTTTCCTTTCTTTCCATAGTGACAGAAGACCTGAGTTTCTCAGCTCCTCTGCTGCTACATGTGGCCATGTAACTAAGAACCAGCCAATGAAATGTGAGCGGTGAGTTGCATGTAATTCTGCACAGCACCCTTAAAGGGAGGACATATGCCTTTCTTCTCTTGCTTTCAGTTGGCTGCAACATGAACCTGAAAGCTGGGACTTGAGCAGTAATCCTGGATGACGGGGTGGCATGCGGAACAGGAGGTGGGCAAGACCCTGGTTGCCAATGATGGTGAAGCTGCCGCACTACTCCAGCAACAATGAGGCTAACAAAAACACCCTCACTGAGCACTTATTATACTCCAGGTACTGAGCCAGAGGGCTGTACATGCGCTATCTCATTTTATCTTCCCAGCAGTCCTGAGGTTTAAAGGAGGTAAGTCCTGGTCACACAGCTTATGAGTGATAGAACAATAATTTGAATCTAGGGACTTCTGCCTGCTAAGCCCACATGCCTTACACGGCATCCAATGGAGCATCCCTCATACTCCCTCTGCCCCCATGTGGAAGAATGAGGCAGCAGGCGCACCCCATTTACCAAAAGAACATTCACCGAACCTCCCACCCCCAGTCAAAGTCTGATGCCACACCAACAATGTCCCCTAATGCCCCAAACAAGTGGCCAGTTGTGAATTCCTCCTAGTTAGTTGTGTGATGCCCCTCAGGCATTACATTTCTTGGATCATTTTTACCTTATGGCCATTTAATTGCAATTGGAACGCAACTATAATATGAAAACTAGGTTATTGTTATGTTTTTTTCAGAGCCTAATTTCACATTTACGCTAATATCAATATTTCAAAGCTATTTTCTATGATTTATGCTCTCCTGGCCCCATGTGCTGCAATAACATAATGGAATGTGTACTAGTTCATCAGACAGTTGGTATCTGATAGGAGGGCATCAATACATCTAAGAGCCGTGGCTTATATTATGGCTGTCAAATGATCTTGGTGGGAAAGCCTTGATGCAAAACAGGTTTCACTTTACATAAAGCTGGACTTTCCAAATATTTGATCAAGTCATTTTATATAATTGTTCTAGGCTTCAGCTTCCCTGTCTATAAAATGGGGATAGTAATGTTAGTTTCTTAAGAGTGATTTGGAGCATTCAGTGAGATTATGCTTGTTAATTACTTGGCACAGTAACTGGCACACAGTAAGTGCTCAATAAGAGGTCGCTACTTTTAATAGTCATAATCTAGTGGCACAATCCGAACAAACGAAGGTCTCAGTGAACCAATGTGTTCAATTACGAACTTCCCAGCAACTGAAGAATGAAGAAGAAAACAGTCACTACTATGCTGACTGGAAAGATGACTCAATCTAGCTGATTCTAAATCCAGACATTCCATTATTCCACTCCACTCCACTCCATTCTATTTATTAAATGTTTTTATTGATTTCAGAGAGAGGAAGGGAGAGGGAAACACCAGTGTTGAGAGAGTCACTGATCGACTGCCTTCTGCACACCCCCTACTGGGGATCGAGCCCACAACCCGGGCATATGCCCTGACCCGGAATTGAACTGCGATCCCCTGATCATAGCTTGATGCTCAACAACGGAGGCAAGCGGGCCAGGCCATTTTATAAAAGCTGGGCGGCTCTAAATCTTACCTTGATTTAGCATAATCTACGTCGTTACTAACCAGCATGGACATTTTAGTCTTTGTTTGGTATTTAGTCCCCCGGGTTATTATCATTCTCATTTTTTTTTTTGCTAATTTATATAGTTATTTAATATTCAACGCTATTTTGTATTAGTTTCAGGTGTACAGCATAGAGGTTAGACAATCATATGCTTTACAAAGTGCTCCCCCAATATTTCCAGTACCCACCTGGCACCATCCATAGTTCTTACAATATCACTGTGTTCCCTGTGCTGTCTTTCCATCCCGGTGACTGCTCTGTAGCTGCCAATCTGAACCACTTAACCCCTCGCCCTTTTCACCCAGACCCCCAAGAGCCCTCCCCTCTGGCAACCATCAGTTTGTTCTCCCTATCTATGAGTTCTGTTTCTCTTGTGTTTGTTTATATTGTTCTTTAGACTCCACATATAAGTGAAATCTATTCTTATTGTCTTCAGTGGCCCTTTCAAGTCAGAAACATTCACTGGGATTTTTTCCATTTCCTCCCCTCCCCGTTCTTTCTGGGAATGGTGTAGTCAGGGGGAGCACTGCCTTTGCGCTTCTGTTCCCCACGCGGGGACATTTATGCACAGCACAGGCAACAAAACAGCTCCTAAGAATCACTACCACAGACTTTGACTGAAAGCAGCCTTAATTTTTAATCCATGAAACTCAATTCAGTCAGGCTGGGTTTTCAGAAACACATCTGCTTTAAGGATTTATTCTTTCAAGCTTCATCTTGTGCCCTTTCCAACTGCTAATGCCGGATACCGCTAGTTCTATTAATAAAAGTCTCCGAAATAGCAGAGGTAAATCCAACATTTCACTATCAGGTGTTTGCCCCTAACCCAAATCTTGCCCTCCGAGAAAAAGAGGAGCGGTCTTCCATTGTTTCTAATGCCCACTTCGAGGAAAATACCCTTTTAAAATATGCTTACTGTGATTTTCCAAGTGCATTTGCTATTCGGAGGGTACACTCCAGGAAAACCTTCGCTGCCAATAAATCCAGACTCTCCAGTGAGAACACCGCCGCAAGTGAAAACAGGTCTGGGAAATAAAAGGAAACCAACTTCAACATGCCGGCCTCAGAAGGGTGCGGGCGGTCACACGGACGCAGGTAACAGGGTAGCAGACGCC